ATTCCTCCATTTTTCTCAGCTGGACGAGAACAAGCCAGGCCGCAAGCTGCAGCACATTCAGCGCATGTGCCCGGACCTGAGCGTGACCCAGCTGGCGCACATCTGCACGTGGTTCGAGGACGACAAGGACGGGTCGCCGGGGGTGGATCCAGCGGTGATTGAGCAGATGTGGGCATTGATGACGGAAGATGCTCCCTTCCTGCTCAAGGAGGACAAGAGGTGAGAGATTATGTGTGATAGGAGGGATTATGATGCATGCATGTGAAGGAGAGGAATCAAAGGGATGGGGATGGGGATTACCGCTGGATTTAGCGGTAATCCAGCGGTAATTTAGCAGATGTAGGCACTAATCACAGGTTTCAGAGAGCCACCTGCAAGATTCATGCCCCTCACACTCCTCCCTCTTACCCTTTCACCCTGCTTTCCACACTTGCAACTGTCCGTTCCAAACGGACGAGGTGTCGCGCTCCATGAAGGAGTTTGTGCTGGACGACATTGATCCGCCTGCTGCTCTCCGCAACGAGCTCTCCCCCCCCTCATGCTCATGCTGCTCCCTGCCTTCTCCCCCTCCCACCCCCTTACCAGCTGCCCATTCCAAACGGATGAGGTGTCGCGCTCCATGAAGGAGTTTGTGCTGGACGACATCGATCCGCCCGCTGCTCTCCGCAACGAGCCGGCCTTCTACTTCCTCATCCCTGCGCAGCAGCGCCAGCAGGAGCAGCTGCAAGCGGCTAGGCTTGTTGCTGCTGGTGGCGGTTCCGTTGCTGGTGGCGGTTCCACTTATGGTGGTGGCAGTGTCTCTGGGGATCCCCGTAGGAGACTTGCTATGTAGGTTTTTGGGAGTTGACGGGCGTAGCGGCTACATGATGTTGGGTCTGGGATCCAGTGGCATTATGGCAAATATAGTGTCCTTTTGTGGAACGGCTTCGTGCTTTCGGGTTTCCTCTCATTACGGTTGTGCTTAGCAGTGCTATTCATGAGAGGGACTTGTGATTAGAGGGTAGAGGGTAGTGGTGCAATGTTTTCCCATGTAAGTGGGTGAAGGGAAATAAGGTTTTCTTTGTTTTCTTTATACGTTTATGTAAACACAATAGTCTTGAAGTAGTGAACATCTAGTTGGCTGACACTCCAAAGAAAAAATGGAACGGTAATGCTTGACGCGTCACACTTAAAGCTCCGGTATACATTTGAAAGGAGGGGTTCAAAATCTTTTGAAATTTGAAAAGTTGCCCCAAACCTGTGAGGCGCACTCCCTAACCCCTAAACCCAACCGACAAATGTATACTTCAGCTTTAAGCGTATAATCCAAGTGGCACTGGCAAGAAACCTCAGGCGTATTCCACGTCAACGTCGTCGTAAAATTTGTCATCGGATATTACCTTCAATCACCATTTCCTTCAGTATCACCATTTGCCACGCCATCTCCTCCCCCTCTCCCACCAAATGCTGGTAACCCGAAATCAAGAATCTAGGTTCCAGAATCCAGACTCTTCCCCATTTCAGCACCTTGATAAGTCCAGGACAGATTTGTTTCAGGCAGTCGGCATTCTGGCAACATTCAGACACACTTGTTTTAGGCAGCCAGGAACTAGGACCTAGAAGGTTCTTGGCGTTAGGACGAGGAGTGGGAGTAGTGGTGGTTACCGTTGCGCTGGTCAAAATATTTATTGTTGCTTCTGGCTTGACAGCTGAGCTATGGCGTCCGTGACGTCTCTCCCTGCAGCTCTGACCGTTGCTGCTGGTGTGTCCGCTTCGCTCTCCGCCTCCTCTCTCTCCCACACTTCCACTCCGTCGTCGTCGACTCGCGTTGCCTCACTAAAATGCCGAGCCGAGGCACGTAAGGATGACGTTACTTCTCAACCCGCTGACGTGGCAAAGTGGCTCGGCACAGCCGCAGTGACCTTATCCGCCACGGCAGCGCTTTTCTGCGGCTCCGTCGACCCCGCATTCGCCGACGTGGAATTAAAGACGTACTACGGCACAGCTGCTAGCGCGTCGTCCTATGGCGGGTACGGCGGGAACGCGAGCAAGCAGGCGACGGCGGAGTATATTTACGGCGTTCCCGACGATTGGAAGGAGCGCGCGATCTCCAAGGTTGAGAAGGGTACTAACGGCACGGACAGCGAGTTCTTCTGGCCGAAGAACCGCAACGTGAAGACTTACGTCACCTTCCTCGCCGGTGAGTTTTGAGCATTCTCAAATATTTGAAGGAGCTCGCAAAATTGCAAGGGAGAAAGGGACCAACGGCACGGACAGCGAGTCCCTTTGGCCCAAGAATCGCAACCTCACTCTTTTCGCCGGTGAGTGTTGAGATGTCTCAAAGTAAGAAGTAGCGCGAATTTGGAAGAAAGAAAGGGACCAACGGCGCGAACAGCGGTTCCGTCTGGTCCACGAATCGCGACGTGCTGAACGGCATTGCTCTGTCGTTGAGTCCCATAACGGCGTTGAGTCCCATAACGAAAGCTCTTGCAAGTTGCGTGTCAATACGTCCACTTCCGTCCCGCAATCATTTTCCGCGTCCCTCCTCCCTCTCCGTTTTGCCGCTCCCCCTGATCCCCCGTGTGCCAGGCTTCCGCCGTCTTCCCCCCCAGGAGAACGTGCTGAGCGACATTGCTCTCTCGGACGTCAACCTGCAGGTGCGTCGGACGTTGTTTGGTATTGATCTCTAGTCAAATCGAGGTAACTTAATTTGAGGCGCAGCGCATCAAAGCCCTGGATGGAAGGACTGTTCTTGAAGCGCCTGAAACAACTTGCTAACGTCATTGCTCTGTCGGCCCCAACATGCGGGTGGGTGGATCGTTTGAGTTTCGAGGCTCCTTTGAGCAATCATTTATCCTTCGTCAATTCAATGACGTCAACCGTGCACAGGAAGGGATGGGGCTGGTGAAAGTTTTGCGGAGGAGAGATCAGGAAGAGGTGGTGCGGTTGAATGGAAATTGACGAGTGGACGCTAATAGGATGGTTGGAAGGTTTGATGCATAGGTGGAGATTGAGGGACAAGTCATCAGAAACCCACCCACCTCACTCCCCTCTCCCCCTCCTCAACCTCCCCTCTCTTGCAGGATTTGATTCTGTCCACAGACGAGATAAAGCAGGGGCAGCACCGGGACCCTGACAGCAACCAGCTGTACTACGACTTTGAGATTGACAGCCCGCTGGGCCACGCCCTCATCACTGTCACTGCCACCAAGAACAAGCTCTACGCTCACTTTGTCAACGCACCTGATAAATACTGGAAAACGTGAGTGTTCTTCATTCAACTCATGCCATCCTTCCTGCTTCCCACAGCTCTCTGCCTCCCCTTTCCTCTGCCTGCTCCTGGCTATCACCGAGAACAAGCTTTATGCTTACTTGGTCAATGCATCCGATGAATACTGGAAAACTTAAGTCATCCACTCTCCTGGTGTGTTACTGCCCTGCCAGTGTTTCCCCTCAAGACCGTCAACAGGGACCCTTTGAGTCCATCCCTTGTCTTCCTATCCTCTCCTCTCCCTCCCCCACTCCCACATCCCCCTCCCTTTTCTCCACACTCCCAGGGACAAGGCAATGCGCCGGCAACTTCAGACATCATTCAAGACCGTCAACAGGGCAGGGACCCCCTTGAATGCACCCCTTGCATTCCTGTCCTCCCCCCTCCCACACCCACACCCTCACTCCATTCCCCACACTCTCAGGGACGAGGCTCTGCTTCGGCAGATCCAGACCTCATTCAAGACCGTGGGCAGGGACCCCCTTGCCCCTCCTGATGTCTTCTAGAGCCGTTTGAAGCAACCCTACTGCGCCTGCACCTGAAGGCAAATTTGCACTCCTGAGTCAAGCTCCTATTTCCTGAGGCACATCAATTTTTCCTGACAAGCGCTGCTTGAATGTATAGGGTTAGTGGAGCTTACCATAGAAAGATGTATCGTGTTGTTGCTTCATCTGCTGGACGTGAGATGCTTGGATGGATGGATGGATGCCCGGGTTTGGAAAGCATACCGTATAAGCTTACTATCTTCCTCTTCCAGGCAAAACTTGATTCAGGCTGGCTCTCTATACTGCAGTAGTCAGATAAGCATGCAAATTACATCTCAAGTTGGTTGGCTCATCATGTATGCATCCACCCCTAGCCCTAACCTCATCATAAGCCTATAATTTTGTACTTGTTACCGGTACCGGTAGGTCACCTTGTTACGGGTCACACACAACACCTCCTCAAGTAGCTGTCCCTTCCTCCCTTCCTCTGCTCTCCCTCCTCTCCTCTCTCCTTCTACCTCTCCTCTCTGCTTCTTCCCCTCCTCTCTCCTTCCTCTCCTCTCTCCGTCCTCCTGACCTCCACTCTCCTTCTCTCCGCCTCTCTCCCTCCTCTCCTCCTCTCTCCTTCCTCCTCTCCTCTCTCCTTCCTCCCCTCCTCTCTCCTTCCTCTTCTCTCTCCTTTCTCCTCTCCTTCCTCCTCTCATCTCTCCTTCCTCCTCTCTCCTCTCCTTCCTCCTTTCCTCTCTCCTTCCTCCCTTCCTCCTCTCGCCTTCCCCCTCTCGTCTCGCCTTCCTCCTCTCCTCTCTCCTTCCTCCTCTCCTCTCTCCTTCCTCCTCTCCTCTCTCCTTCCTCCCTTCCTCCTCTCGCCTTCCCCCTCTCCTCTCTTCTTCCTCCTCTCCTCTCTCCTTCCCCCTCTCCTCTCTCCTTCCTCCTCTCCTCTCTCCTTCCTCCTCTCCTCTCTACTTCCTCCTCTCCTCTCCCCTTCCTCCTCACCTCCTCTCCCCTTCCACCTCTCCTCTCTGCTTCCACCTCTCCTCTTTCCTTCATCATCTCCTCTCTCCTCTTCCCCCTCTCCTCTCCCCTCTCCCCTCCCCTCCCCCTCCTCCCCCCCGGTCTCCTCCTCCTCCCCATCCCCCTCCCCTCCCGGAACAACCTTCGCCACATCCACTCCAAACATGCCACGTCAGCATGCCCATGCAGCTCCACGTCATCCCATCACCACTTAAGATGAACCAACTTCTTCACTCCCCCCTCCCCTTCCTGCATCAGCTCGCCTGCACGCCTCCACCCATGCATTCCACGTCCCCTCCAATCATGCCACGCCAGCTGGCACTTCCAACTCAGCATTTCAGCATCAGCATTTCAACCTCCACCCAATATCACCCACTCATCCTCATCTCATCATCACCGCTTGATGTTTAGCAATTCCTTAGCCTCCTCCTCCTCTTTCACCAGCTCCGTGGTCGCGTACTTAATTAAGAGCTCCGCCTTCTTTTTCGCCACCACCATCCGCTCGATCTCCTTCTCGTCAGGCAGCGGCACGTGCGCCACGAACCGCCGCCCGCCCACAGCATCCAGCGCCGCCTCTTCCGCCGCGTCTAACGCCGCCTCCTCGCGCCTCGCGCGCTCCGCCGCTGTCTCGCGATCCTCTTCCGTCTCCTCCTCGCCCGCTTCCTCTCTCTCCTGTGCTATGACCCCGCGCCGCTCCCGCGATTCCCGGGTCTCGATCGGAGCGCCGAGCTCGTCTAGCAGATCCGTCTGTACCCGGATCGAAGCTTCCTCCCCGCTTTTCACGGCGCGGCGAGCCTCAGCTTTAACAGCTTCGAGCTCCTCCCACTCCCGCACCGCCTTCTCTATAATCTCCCGCTCGGCCTCCGTCTCGAGCCGCACCAAGATTCCGTCCTCCTCGTCCCTGTACCCGTAATAGTCCATATCGATACGCTTATAAAGCTCGTACCGGTTCCGCTTCTTAGTCGGCGCCGTCGGCTTCTCGAAAAGTTCGCGAACGCCCGGCAGGTTCTTCGCAGCGCCGAAGTAACGGTAACCAAGCCCCTTGCCGGTCGCGGAACCGGCCGGCAGCTCGTCGTCTCCATCGCCGACTTCTTTGCCGTCCGCGTCAGTTATTTTAGGCCCTTGTTTCGCGTAGTTCGGACCGCCAAGCTCAACTATCCGTTTCTCCCAGTGCCCTTTCTCCCGTATAAGCTTGTTAATCTCGTCGTTAAGATCCTTAATTCGGTGCTCGCCTAAACCGGGGTTCTGAATCTCGGTTACTCGCCGTCCGATCTCGCGCAAGATCTGCTGCCGCCATTTGTCGGCGTCTGATAGGTCGCGGCATTCGGACGCGAGGAACGGGCGCTTCTCCCGCGGCTTGCGCTTCTCGTCCTGCTTCGCGGCCCAGAAGCGATTCAGCACGGCGTTCGCCTTCTCCTCGTTACGCGCCATGGCTGCAGGCCGTGCTAGGTGGCGGCGCGAAGCTGGAAAATGCTTTCAAAAAAGTAACTGAAAGGTGGTCGGGACTCGTTTTTTTAGAAATAGAATATAAATTATCTACAGGGTAAAATCAGCCGCCCTAGCTCAGTTGGTAGAGCGCAAGGCTCTTAACCTTGTGGTCGTGGGTTCGAGCCCCACGGGCGGCGCTCCTTTTGTTGAGAGTGCCGTCGCTGCCCTTTTTGGCGGTGTCGTCGTGAATTCGTTTTCGTCGCACTCAGACGGTTCGCCATTCACGACCAGCAATTTAGGTTTTCCCTGCTACCTCTCTGGTCGTTCTCATAATCAGAAGCTGAGAGGTTGAGTTCTAGAATCGATATAGATTCTATCCCGTAGTTCTGGCCTGCTCTCTCTCATCACCCTAATCGTTGCTTGATTTCGCCGCGCGATCCCGTCTTACATGTAGCTTGACATAGCCACTTTATACACCTTTGGGTGATTATATTTGGAAACATCAAGTTTATGATCGCTGCATATGCGACTTGTGTCAGCCTGAGAGCCTGTCTCACCGTTGTCTCACTGTTTTGTAGCTCTTCTCTGACGTAGCTAACCCATCCTAATTAGTTAGACCTCTGCAATTTTCGATAGCTCTTTCCACGAACTTTCTCAAGAGTTTGCCAGTGTTGCCATTTTAGTAACAAATCCGTAGAATTCATCATTGTAGGTATCATCGAGTTTGGGAAATTCTTTAAATACATAGTTGGACATACTAATCCAACTAGGCATCCGGCAGGATGAGGAAGACCAAGGGCGGGCGGACGATGAATCCGACGGACTCGTTCCGCAAGGAGCAGCGGAAGCGCGAGATCAAGAAGAACAAGGTGGAGCGCCGCAAGGTCCGCGAGACCGGCGTTCTGCGCAGCGACCCGGCCGCCATTCGCGAGCAGATCGCGAAGCTCAACGCCGCCAGTGCGTCGTCTCTCCCTTTCGCCCTCTCCCTCTCTCTCCCTCTCTCTCCCTCTCTCCCCGCCCCTCTCTCTGCCGCCATCCCCTTGTAACTTGTGAACCCGCGATATGGCTCTCGGTAAACCGCATCCATTCGCGAGCAGATCGCCAAGCTCAACGCCGCCAGTGCGTCCTCCCGCGTCCTTTTTTTTCTATGACGTATTTCCCATGAAATCATGAGTCCGACGCCGCGACTCGGCGTCCATACGCGAGCTGATCCGGATGTCCTTTTTCTCATTCTTATGTCTTTCCACTTTTCTTTCTGTGCAACTTCCCCTTCTTTTCCTTCTTTTCGTCCGATCTTCGAGAAGAACCGTAGCCACAAGCTGAGGCAGCTGACGAGGAGAGGAGACCCTTCATTAGACCCTTGTTAGACCCTAGCGTGCGTGTGTGCGCCGTGTGCTGCGCACGCATGGTCAACGCAGAGCCAGAAGTAGTGAGGTTGTTTTTGAGACGTCTCAAAAACAACCTCGCTACACGCATGGTCAACGCAGAGCCAGAAGGGCCAATGGAGAAGAATAGGATTACAAGCTGAGGCAGCTGAATAATGTTACACAGAACCTTATTTTTCTGTGCTGTGTGCCGGGCCGTGTGTGCCATTCGTGCTGTGTGTGTGCTGTGTGCTGTTTGCTGTGTGCCGTGTGCTCTGTGACTGGCTGTGAATGCAGAGTCAGAGGGGCCAATGGAGAAGACGCGCAAGCACAAGCTGAGGCAGCTGGAGGACCGGTTGCAGCTGGTGCTGAAGAAACGCAAGGTGAGTGATGGCGGCGGGGAGAGCAGAGGAAAAGAGAGTGGGGGGAGTGCGAGGTGTTAAGGGATGGTGCTGGGCTGGGCTGGGCTGGGCTGGGTTGGGTTGGGTTGGGTTGGGTTGGGTTGGGTTGGGAACATTTTGTTGATTTTGGGGGCGCTGCAAAAATTACCTCAGCGCTGGGCTGGGTTGGGTTCGGAACATTGTGGTGGTGAAAGGAGAGAGTTAGTGACTGCTGTGTTGAAGGTGCCTTATGTCTCTTGAAGGTCTAAGAAGAAATTGATTGTTGATTTGGCTCTAAGAGAAAGAGGTTGATTTGGCTCTAAGAGAAAGAGGTTGATTTGGCTCTAAGAGAAAGAGGTTGATTTGGCTCTAAGAGAAAGAGGTTGATTTGGCTCTAAGAGAAAGAGGTTGATTTGGCTCTAAGAGAAAGAGGTTGATTTGGCTCTAAGAGAAAGAGGTTGATTTGGCTCTAAGAGAAAGAGGTTGATTTGGCTCTAAGAGAAAGAGGTTGATTTGGCTCTAAGAGAAAGAGGTTGATTTGGCTCTAAGAGAAAGAGGTTGATTTGGCTCTAAGAGAAAGAGGTTGATTTGGCTCTAAGAGAAAGAGGTTGATTTGGCTGACTTCACCTCGCTTCGCAGACTTGCATTTGCATCAGATTTCTCCATTCTGAATAGTCTGTTTCTTCCTTCTCCATCCCTGCCCGCCCCTTCTCCCGCCTCCCCATATTCCCACCCCTTCTCGTCCCTTCCCACCCCGCCCTCCCCCTTTTCTCGCTTCCCCTCGTTTGCGCAGGAGTTTGAGCAGAAAATGAGGGAACGGGGAGAGGACCCAGTCATGTTCAGCCCAGTGCCTTCTCACTCACTCTTTCTCTCCTTCTCTCCCGTCCACTGCTGCCCCCCGCTCTCCTCTCGTCCCCTCGTTTGAGCAGGAGTTTGAGCAGAAAATGAGGGAAAGGGGAAAGTATCCAGTCATTTTCAGGTGACCCTTGGTCAGAAACCCTCTTTGCCTCCTCACTCTTTCCTTTTCTTTTTTCTATTCTCTCCCATCCACTGCCCCTCTCCCCCCTTTCTTTCCTCCCCTTGTGCGAGCAGGAATTTGAGCAGAAAATGAGGGAGCGGGGGGAGGACCCAGTCATGTTCAACCCACTGCCTTCCCACTCACTCTTTCTCTCCTTCTCTCCCGTTCCACTTCTGCCCGCCTCTCTGAGCAGGAGTTTGAGCAGAAAATGAGGGAGCGGGGGGAGGACCCAGTCATGTTCAGGTGACCCTTGGTCAGAAACACCTACCCCTTGTACCCTTTACAAGCTGCCTGCCTCAGCACACAAGAGAAACACCTCTTCGTTGCAGCGATCTCTCTGCTCAATATTCGCTGTCACTCGCACTCTCACTTCCGGACACTGGGCACTCCATGTTTCGTGCTGCCTCCGCTTCCCCTCTCCCTTTCCGCCCGCCACTTAACTAAGTGCAGCCTCTTCAGTGAGGCCTTGTTTTGTCACCCCTCCCTCACCCTCCCCACTCCCCCCTCTCCCCTCCCCCCTCCCCCCTCCCCCCTCAATCCTCCCCAACCCTATTCTAATTCACTGCGCAACCTCTCATTCTGCCTCTTGTCCCTGTTCTTCCCATTAACCACCAAACTAACTACCACTTTCTGCTCTCGCCCTTCCTCCATGTATTCCCCCTCGTTGCGGTCTTGCCCATTCTCCCCCTTCCAGCCATCTCACTGCCCCTCGCAAGTCTGCCAACGAAGCCATCAGGAACCTTCGCCCAGAGGTGCGTGTGTGTGCAGGCCAGGCATAGGTGATCTGATCTTGCAGGGTGTATTTGAGAATTCTCAAAAACACCCTATAGGTGATCTGATCTTGCAGGGTGTATTTGAGAATTCTAAAAAACACCCTATAGGTGATCTGATCTTGGAGGGGGAGGGGAAGGGCGAGGAGGTGGAGAGAGGGATAAAGAAAGGAGGGAAAGGGAGGAGAAGGGCGGTTGGGGGGGGCAAGTCGGGGGGGAATGGAAGGGGGTTTGGTGGAGTGGTGGAACGGGGTGTTTTCAAGGGCTGTGTGCATGCTGTTTTGACCTTTGAGGACACAGCCTTTGAAAACACCCCATCTGTTTTCGACCACCCCGTCTCTTTGAGTACCCTGTCCTGTGTTGCGTTGCAGGGAGTTTTTGAGAATTCTCAAATGTTGAGTCGACTCAAAACTCGACTCACTACACGCGGATTATATGTGGAGGACCCTGCCCTGTCCTGTGTTGCAGGGAGTTTTTGAGAATTCTCAAGAACCCCTTTCGACAAACGTCTCTTTGAGGACCCTGTCCTGTGTTTTCAATGTCACTGTGTTTAGATTGCGGTTGAAGCCCCTGGCCTAGACGTTTGTCCCGAGTTGAGACCAGGTAAGTGGGGTTGAGCCGAGGCCTTTTAAATTCTTCCCTCCACACCCACCCACCCACTTAGGAGCATAACCCCGTCCCATGCATGCTCAGTGTGGGAAGATAGTCTCGACCCAGATCCAGCAGATCTAACTCGTTCTAAACTCTTCTAGGCTGACTTAGGGGCATATCCCCGTCCCATGGATGCTCAGTGTGTATTGCACACTACGCTACTTTTGGCCAATCTCGTGATTCTTGAGACATCGAGACATTTTTAATGCTTGAGCTGTCTTTTGTTGAAATAACTCGCTTGCAATCGATTTCTCTGTGTCTTGTACCCTGCTTACATCCCGCCTGTGTACAAACCCTGTTGCTCCCTCCCTCCTCGGCAGGATTCCGTATACTATCATCCAACCTTGAACCCCTTGAGCCAGCCTTTTGAGAAGTCCAAAAAATAACACCAATATTCCTGCCTGTATTCCAACCCTGTTGCTCCCTGCTCGGCAGGATTCCGTATACTATCATCCAACCTTGAACCCTTCGGGCCAGCCTCCACCAGGGAAAGCGCCGATGTATCGGCCTTCTCTCTGTGAGTGTGCAGCCAGCTGTGCCTACTTAGTCGGATCGAATGACCGCACTTATCGCCCCCATCTCTCATTTGGTATCACGCAACTCCCGCCAGGAGAAGCACTCATGTGTTGTTTTTTTTGTGCGCCTCAAACATGTATTGGCCCTCTCGCTGCAAGTGTGCAGCCTTTTGAGGCGCCTCAAAAGTCGTCAATAGGCGCCTCAAACATGTACTGGCCCTCTCTCTTTAAGTGTGCAGCCATGCCTATTCACAAAGCCCACATATCTGGTTACTGAATGACACTCCACACTCACTCCTTATCACCCTCTTCCCTCCCACACTCACTCCGCATCTGCTCTGCTCCCCTCCCACACTCACCCCCTTTCTCTGTCTGTCCCATCTTTACCCTTCTCTCCTTGACTCTCCCCTCGCCTGGGCTTTCAACTGAGAGCAGCTAGACCATCAGCAGGGCAAGGGGAAGAGGAGGATGAGGACGAGGAGGAGGGGGATTCAATGGATGAAGATCAGGAGGAGGATGAGGAGGACGAGGAGGAGGAAGAGGGGGAGGGGGAAGGAGACGAGGGAAAACAGGATTCAGGGGCAGCAGGGGGAGCAGCAGCGGGAATGGTTCCCCTTCCCCCGCCCCCTCCGCCTCCCCCTCTTCCAGACGCGCACACCCTCCCCCCAGGCGTCCCCATGCCTCTCCCCATACCTGTCCCCGTGCCCCCCCCTCCCCCCGCCCCCCCTGGCATGGCTCCCCCGAGTTTCCCCCCCGAATTCCGCCCCCCGCACTTGCAACAGCCTCCCCCTCCTCCCCCCCGCGCTGGCTTTCCCCCTGGTATGCGCCCCCCTCCCCCTCCCCCCCGACCTGGGGCAGGGGGAGGGAGGGGAGCGGAGGGGGGAGGGGAAGAGGAGGAGGATGCTAGGCCTCCTGGGGTTGAGATGACTGGTCCGCCTGCTGCTGCTGCTGCTGCTGCTGCTGCTCCGGGTGCTGGTGCCGCTGGTGCCGAGGGGAAAAGAATCCCCCCTCCCCCTCCTCCCCGTCACCACCTCCCCTTGGGATCCGTCCCCCCCGAATCCGGGCCCCCCTCCCGTCCCCCTGGTGTTCCCCCTCCCCCTCCCCCCCGCATCACCCCCGGAGCTCCCCCTTCCGCCACTCCCCCCAATCTCCCCCCAGGCATGCGCCCACCTGTTTTCCCCCCACCAATGACCCCCCCAGGAGCCCCCCCTGGGGGTCCCCCTGGTACCCTCCCCCCTCCGCCTCCCCCCCGCCCCATAGGGGGAGTTCCCCCCGGCCCTCCCCCCAGACCCATGGGATCCGCGCCCCCATCCATGCACCCTCCCCCCGGCCCTCCCCCCGCACACCTGCTCCGCCCCCAACACCCTTCCCCCGCCCCTGGCGCTCCCCCAGGCGCCCTAGTCCCCCCCGCCCATCTTCCCCCAGGCATGCGCCCTCCCCCTGGCCCTCCACCTGGTCGTCCGCCTATGGGCCTGGGGGGAGGACCGGGGGGGGGCATTCCCCCCCCGCCTCCCCCTGGGATGAGACCCCCCCCAGGCCCCCCCCCAGCAGCAGCACTTGCCGGTGTGGGTGGGGGGATGGGAGGAGGAGACGGGGGAGGAACGGAAGCAGGAACGGCAGGGGGAGGGGGAGCAGGAGGAGCAGGGGGGGCAGGGGGAGCGGGAGGAGCAGGGGGAGGGGGAGGGGCGGAGGGTAAGCCTACTCCCGCGTATGTGAAGGTGGCAGCTCCGATGGTGGTGAAACGACCCCTGGCACAACACACACCGGAGCTCACAGCCATGGTGAGAGGACCTTTATTCGAGCATGTGTGTGACGGGGGGGGCGGGTGTGGTTGTGTGCACATGACCTTGTGTGCACTGCGGCCACTCCAGTGTATGTGAAGGTGGCAGCACCGATGGTGGTGAAACGGCCTCTGGCACAACACACACCGGAACTGACTGCCATGGTGAGAGCACCTTCGTGCGAGCATGTGTGTGTGCGGAGGTGTGGTTGGAGGGAGGGGAGGTGGGGGAGGGGGAGTTGGAAAGTGGGACGAGGCAGTAGGCGCTTTTGAAGCTTTTGAGTCGACTAATTGACGGGGCTGTAGGCTCTTTTGAAGCCCAAGCCAAAGTCTGTTACTGCTGCTGCTGCTTTTGAGTCGATTCAAAAGCTGTTGCTGCTGCTGCTGCTGCTTCTGCTGCTGCTGCTGCTGCTGCTGCTGCTGCTGCTTCTGCTGTTTCCCCTCACCCTCCTTGTCTCTCTCCCTCTCTCTCCCGTCCCTCCCACCATTCCTCTCCACACCACCAGGTCCCAGCGTCCGTGCGAGTGAGAAGGCAAGAGGCACTAATCAACCCCGAGCCAAAGGTTTCTGGTGCTGCTGCTGCTGCAGAAGCTGATTTTTTGTTGCCTTGTCTATCCCTCACTCTCCCCTCCTCTCCATCACTTCACACAACTCCCTTCCATCCACCACTCCACTCCACACCTCCAGGTTACAGCATCTGTGAGAGTAAGAAGGCAGGAGGCTTTGATGAAGCCCAAGCCAAAGGCCACTGCTGCTGCTGTTTCCCCTCACCCTCCTTGTGTATCTCCCACCCTCTCCTTTCCCTCCACCACTCCACTCCACACCACCAGGTCCCAGCGTCCGTGCGGGTGAGAAGGCAGGATGCACTGATGAAGCCCAAGCCAAAGGCCGCCGCTGCTGCTGCTCGGGCTGCTCCTGCTGCTGCTGCTGCTGCTACGCCTGCCGCCGCTGCTGCTGCGCCGAATAAACCAGCCAGTATTGACGACTCGTATTCTGCTTTTATGGAGGAAATGAAGGAGCTGGGTGCCTTTGAAGGGGATGAGAGCTAGCAGCACTGCTCGCCCCCCCCTCCCTCCCGCCCTGCCCTTACCCTGGCCACTGCTGCGGCTGCCGCTGCCGCTGCCGGTGCTGCTGCTGCTGGAGCGCCGATTCATTTTCTGCTTTTATGGATGAAATGAAGGGCTGGGTGCCTTTGAAGGGGACAACAGCTAGTACTGCTGCTGCCACTGCTGCTGCTGCCACTGCTGCTGCTGCGCCGAGTAAACCACTGAGTATTGACAACTCGTATTCCGCTTTTATTGAGGAGATGAAGGAGCTGGGGGCTTTCGAGGGGGATGAGAGTTAGTAGAAATGCTCACGTTGGGTGGTTTCTTGTGGACAAGCCTAATTGGTCGGCGGCATTATTGGAGGCCCTTCTTGTTTTAACCATCACTAAATACGCACTTACTGACAGAATTTGCACAGATAGAAACAAAGTTATGCTCTGATAACAGAGGCTTCTCTTGCATTTTGGGTCATCGAATGTTGGTAATGACGTGGTACACGGCTCATATTTGTAACTGATGTAGTTTGTAACGCGGAAATATTTTTCCGAGGTTCTTCACATAAATCTTCACTCTGTCATTTTTCAGACCAATGATTCTTGGCAGCAAGACCTGCCAATGGCGGCGCTTTCACCGCCATTTATTGTGCTTTCGCGGTCACTTCCAAATGCCGCGGCGCTTTCACCGCCATTTATTGTGCTTTCGCGGTCACTTCCAAATGCCGCGGCGCTTTCACCGCCATTTATTGTGCTTTCGCGGTCACTTCCAAATGCCGCGGCGCTTTGCGTCACGAGCGCTGTCGGATCCGCGTTTCATGTTCCACCTTTTGCGTTAATCGAGTCTGTCGCGCCTGTCGCGCCTGTCGCGCTGCTTACGCCGATCGGCGCAAGCGCGCCCCTGCGACTACTGCGGAGTTCGCGGCGAAAGAGTCCTACGCGGCGGCTTGCGCATGCGGGCGCGATGCGCGATCCGCTTCTGAAGCGTGGCTCCGCTGCAGTTTGCGGAGCGGTGGCTGCTAAAGCGGCCGCGGGGGGAGACGGCGGAAGTAAACACGAGGGGAGTGAAGCCCCCGGGAAAAAATGCGCGCAGGGCAAAGGCGCCGGGGGGAAAGCCGTGGCGGGGAAAGGCGTTAAGGGGGAAGGCTCCGGAGACGAAGAGTTGAAGGGGCTTAGGAAGACGGTTAGCGGGAAGAATCTACGTGAAACGAAAGAGAAGGAGACGATGCTCAAGGAGAGGCAGACGACGGAGAAGAGGCAGAGGAGGGAGAAGAAAGCGAATAAAGGCAAGAAGGAGAAGAAGGAAAAGAAGGAGACGGTCGAGAAGAAAGAAAATCTTCAGCGAGCGAAGACTATGGAGGAGGGTGACGGTGCGGAAAGGCTTCTGAAAGGAAGGGCCGCGGAGGAGGGTGTTGCGGGAAGGGGCGGCGCGGAGGAGGGAGATGAGGCGCAACCTTCCGGAGCGGAAGCCTCGCGGATGGGAAGAAGTTCAGCGGAGGATTGTGCGAAAGAGGAACCCCTCGAGCGCTCCTGGCGCACCGTGTTTTCCGCTGCTTCCTCCGCGGATCGCTCACCCAAACCCTCCCGCGGGCTCCTCACCGACCCTGACCCCGTCCCGATCCAAGGCAGCAGGCTCGGGAACGACTCCGCCCCGAACCAAAGCCTCAGCTTCGGCGCTGCTGACTTCGCTCCGGACCAAAGCGGCAGGTCCGGCGGCGGGTGGTGCGGGCTGTGCGGGGACGGGTCGGGATGGGTGCAGTGCGGTGCGTGCGACGGGAAAGGCGCGTACGCTACGGCGCCTGGGCTGGGGGGAGTAAAGGGGAAGGTTGGATGGGCGTTGTGTAAGACTTGCTATGGGTGGAAGGCGACTCCTTGTGTTCTGTGCGCTGTTAGCGGCGCGGAGGAGTGGTTGCAGTGGCAGGAGCATGCTATGAGGCACCCTGTGAAGGTGAAGATTGGGGGAGAGGAGGTGGCGAGGGGAAGAGAGGAGGAAGGGGGGTGAAGGGGAAGGTTAGATGGGTAGGCGTTGTGTAAGACTTGCTATGGATGGAAGAAAGGCGACTCCTTATGTTCTGTGCGCTGTTAGTGACGTGAAGGAGTGGTTGCAGTGGCAGGAGCATGCTATGCGACACCCTGTGAAGGTGAAGGTTGGGGGAGAGGAGGTGGGGAGGACAGGAGTGGAGGAAAGGGAGAAGTGAGTGAGAAGGGTGGGATGAGTGAAAATGGCGGAGGAATGAGCAAATATGGAGGAGTGTGGCACAGTGGAGTGTTTGGGAGAGATGGAAGAGGCAAGTGGAGAGAAGAAGGCAAGTGGAGAGAAGAAGAAGGCAAGTGGACAGAAGGAGAAGACAGGGGGAAAGATGAGGAAGAGAAGGTTAGGGGGTGATGAGACGGTGAGGAGCAAGGAGGGAAAGAGCGAGAACGAGGAGGAGGAGGAGAGGAGGAGAGGAGGATCGGAGGAGGACGAGGAGAGGAGGAAGCAGAAGAAAAGTTTCTATGCATGCAGTTCATGGTGAGTGGGTGTGGGGCGGCTGATTTGGGAGGAGGGGGGTGAGAGTAACAGGATGGAAAGGTGAGCCTTACACTGTTACACATGGAAGGGAAGAGAGGCTTTATCAGTCGTGATCATCGTTGGCCTTCTGAGGCATTTCAAGAAGCACATGGAGGGAAAGGGATGCTTGCTGCCGAAGTTATTGCTGTTGGCTTAACAGTTGGCCAAAAGCATATCAATCCATGGCATGGGAGGGAAAAGAAGGGCTGCAGCAGGAGAATTTGCTGCTGGCTCCGATACAACCCCCCTACAGCAATTCCACAGACACCAGCCCGTTCATGCCTCTTAACATGCTTTTTTTCCTCCTTTCTCTTTCTTTTTCATACATTGGGAAAGTGGAAATAAGGACATGGGGAAGAGGAGAGGAGGTAATGGAGGTTGGGCTTTGGGTCTGTGGTTTGAGGTTTCTGATGACTGCCCGAGAAAAAAATACTTGTGCGGACAGATACGGGCCTTACATCTATGTTATCGTGTATGTACATGTGTTGTATAGTTTTCTGCTACATACCTACGTGTGGCGCACACAAGGGTGTCATCATGCACTGGTGTGTCTTGTGTTTCCCTCATGCGCTGCATTTTTGTTTGGAGTCAGGTCTGGTGCTTCGGGGAGGAATTGAACGACTCTCATTGCTGGGAGACGATAAAATATGTTGCGCAAATGTTCCCTTTAATTGGTGGAGACCCATTTTCAGCAACGCTCAGCATAATAAGGTGTCGATATGTGTGAGCAGTCTGCTCTGCATTGAAGCATTGTGTATGTCTTGTTTTTATTACACATGGAGTCCTAGTTGAAGATGTTATCTACACTTGGTTCAAAGTTTTTAAAGAATTGAAAGTATACATCACATGAGGCAGATGCACACTAACAATAGCGGTCGTAACCGAACTTGGTTCAAAGTTAATGGTTAGGGAAAATATGCCATTCGTAACCACCATGGGACTCGATAACATATTTGTTCAAAAAATAAAGGGTACGGTCACTGAAAAGGGTGTTTTCACGCGACTGATAAAACGTTTCACGTAATCAGTCACTATCAAGTGGTAAAAAAAACGCGAATGGTCATAGATGAAACTCCCGCCAAAACAAAATGAGACCCCAAAAGAACTTGGATGCATTTTCGGATGAATCAACCCTAAACACGTAGCTCGCGAACCGTTCCCAAACCACATCCGATTCCGATTGGGTTTTAGTTCTTTTAGAAGTTAGCAGATTGGTTGGGCGCGAGCGGGAATTTTGTTGAGTTTCAAGTTGTTTTGGCGGGAGTTACATGTATGACCATTCGCGTGATATTTTACCTGTTGTTAGTGACTCAACGCGTCACAATTCGTCATACCGGGCAGCTCGAGAACTGGATCGCCACATTCTTCAGCAGCCCAACGAAGAGTCAACGCAAGTTGGGAAAGAGTGGAAACCCCAGACTCCCAGACCAGCCACAGAGCGGTTGTGCTCTAAGCAGAGATTGTGATGGAGAAAATGAAACACCCAGATCTAGATCTGACCGGGGCCACCCACCCATCCCCACCACCGCCACTCCAGCTGGAGAATCACAGCAGCGTCAACGTTCTCAACTCAGCGGACCTGCACATGTCAAGCCTCAGCTACTTACAGCTGGCTCCCAGCGTTCGACATCGCAGTGGTCCAAGGTAAGTTCGCTTCCTGTTTTTCTCCCCTTTTCGTTTTGGCTTGGCTGGTGTTGTTTTTTGTTTTCCCTTTGACCGTTGATTGCAGACTGCATATACCAGCGCTGCTCCGGCTGCCAAGCCCTGCGCCCGCCCACGTCCCGCCGCTCCCTTTTTCCCCTCTTGACACGCCGTACTCGGCTGACCGGTTTGCTCCCTCTCAGACCCCTCGTTTTTCGCATGATCGAGACCACTCCACGTCAGCTCCCCCTCCGCACTGGCTTCTCCTTTCCGGTTCGCTTCCATTTTCGTCCAGCCGCTCCCCTCTTCCTCAGAACTTCTCGACGTTTCCCCCTGCACCTGTTCCAATCCCGCGCCACTCCACTACCCCACGACACCACTACTTTTTTCTGTTTCCAGGTCACCCAGAGCCTGATCCAGACACGTCCCTTTGCGGGGACTCGGAGTTCACTATCTGACACGTCTCTTCTTGCCAGGTGGTTTGCTGCGCACGCACCATTTGCCCCCCCCCTTCGGCTGGTCTCTTCCGTTCCCTGCCCTCGTGGCTCCCTTGCTCTTTTTCCCCCTGCTCCCTTCGCTGCTTTCTTTGCCTCCTGCTCCAGATCCTTATTACTACGTGACCTGTGTTGCCGCCTAGGCACCTGGTCTTTTTCATGGGGAAGCTATGGCCGCTCCCAATGCCCCCGCGCCACCACGGATGGCTTGCTCTTGCTCACGGCTCTCCACAACCCCACACGCGCTTCTAGAACCTTCGCTTTTACTCCCCTTCGCGACGGCCTCCCTCTTTCCGGATTTTCCAGCCCATATTCGAGACGTCACTATCTCCTTTCTGCTATCCCGTGCTTCCATATATCCTCCCGTCCCGGCTGCCCTCAGATCCCACGAACCACCTCGCGCGCTTCTAGAATCTTCGCTTCTTCTTCCCTTCGCGATGTCCTCCCTCTTTCTGGACTCTTTAGCCCAGATTCGAACCGTCACTATCTCCTTTTTGCTACCCCGTGCTTTCTCACATCCTCCTGTCCCGGCTGCCTTCAGATCCGACGAACCGCCTCGCGCGCTTCTAGAATATTCACTTCTGCTTCCCTTCGGGATGGCCTCCCTCTTTCTGGACTCTCTAGCCCAGATTCGGATCGTCACAATCTCCTCTCTGCTATCTGTCAGAATATGTTGTTTGTGTAGCCTGCAGTGGGGTACTCTATAGTGAGTACAGCCCCTTAGGGTTTGCCATTTGTATCCTGCTGCTTGCTAGTTCAATCATTCCTTCTCAATTCTATTCCTACACACATTCCTAGCTCGTACTTGGCTCCTCGTTACTAGTCCTACTGTGGCCTAGGCTACTAAGCCTAGGCCGTACTCCTACTACTTCTGACATGGTATCAGAGGGCGGCATGTCTGCCGCCTTCCTGTGTATGGGCCCACCACCCGCTTCCGCTGCCGTACTGTCCGCCGCGCGCCCCGTGGTGCGCGGCGGCGAAACCCTAATTTCTGCCCGCCGCGCGCTCGGGGCGCCTGGCGGTTTTCCCTTCCGTGGCGCCCGTCGTGGTGCCCTTGGGGGGGCCTCCGCGGTCCCCTCCCGTCGAAGCGCCCGTCGAGGCGCTCTCGGGGACCCGCGCGGCCTCCCCCCCCGTCGCCCGTCGAGGCGACCTCGGGGACCCGCGCGGCCTCCCCTCCCGTCGCTCGTCGAGGCGACCTTGGGGGCCCGCGCGGCCTCCCCACCAGTCGCCCGTCGTGGCGACCACGGGGGCCGCGCGCGGTCCCCTCCCGTCGCCCGTCGAGGCGACTTCGGGGGCCGTGCGCGGCGCCCTCCCCGTCGCCCGTCGTGGCGACTTCGGGGGCCGTGCGCGGCCCTCCCCGTCGCCCGTCGAGGCGACTTCGGGGGGCCCGCGCGGCGCCCTCCCCGTCGCCCGTCGAGGTGGCTCTGGGGGCCCGTCGCGGCGCCCTCCCTGGTGCCCGTCGCGGCGCCCCGGGGGGGGCCGCGCGGCTCCCTTCTCGTCGCCCCTCGGGGCGCCCTGGGGGCCGTGCGTTTTCCCCCCCCCGCGGCCGCCCCTGGAGCCGCCCGCCACTGCAGCAGCAGCCCCTGGAGCCGCCCGCACCTGCAGCAGCCGCCCCTGGAGCCGCCCGCCAGTGCAGCAGCCGCCCCTAGAGCAGCCCGCACCTGCAGCAGCCGCTCCTGGAGCAGCCCACACTTGCAGCAGCCGCCCCTGGAGCAGCCCGCACCTGCAGCAGCCGCCCCTGGAGCAGCCCGCACCTGCAGCTGCCGCCCCTGCAGAAGCCCGTCCCCCCCCCCCGTGCTGCCCATTGCTCCCATTCCACCGTGCGTTCCGCGGTGGTTGGGGTGTGGGGTGGCGAGCATGGGGGTGAGAGGTGTGGGTTCTCCCCTCCTCCTTTTTCGTCTCCCACTGCTGCAGCTGCCGCTGAGGGGGGTGGAGGTGTGGGAGTCGTGGGGAGTGGCACTAGGGGGGTGATGTGGGAATGGAGCTAGGGGTGAAACAGGGGGTGTGTGAGAGGGGTGTGGGACTGTTGGGGGAGGTTGAGTGGAGGCTGCTGTCTTGTCGTCCGCAGCACCTGTAGTCCGGGGCGCACTGTCCTGGTAGCTCAGAGAGCCTGCTGCACCTGTTGCCCGTGGGTCCGTTGCTCCTGCCGCTCGTCGCAGCCGCAGAGCCTGTTACTCCTGTATTCCGGGACGCACTGTCTCGGTAGCCACTGAGAGCCTGCTGCACCAGTCGCCCGTGGGTCCGTTGCTTCTGCCGCTCGTTGTAGCCGCAGAGCCAGTTACTCCAGTATTCCGGGGCGCTCTGTCTCGGTAGCCACTGTGTCAGCCGCCACTGTGTCAGCCGCTTCTGTTGCCCGTGTGTCTGCAGCTTCAGTCGTCGCCTCCCATCTTCTCTCCTTTCATAGTCCCTCCTCCTCCTCACTTGCCCTCTATGATAGCCTCTAGCTTTGCTGATAATTATGAACTATTGCTATGACTGCTCATTGTGCTGATTACACCCCACTTTGACTATGGGGGTGTGTCAGAATATGTTGTTTGTGTAGCCTGCAGTGGGGTACTCTATAGTGAGTACAGCCCCTTAGGGTTTGCCATTTGTATCCTGCTGCTTGTTAGTTCAATCATTCCTTCTCAATTCTGTTCCTACACACATTCCTAGCTCGTACTTGGCTCCTCGTTACTAGTCCTACTGTGGCCTAGGCTACTAAGCCTAGGCCGTACTCCTACTACTTCTGACACTATCTTGTGCATTCCCTCCGCCAGCGGACTCCCCGGCTGGCCTCAGATCCTGCGAACCGCCTCACAATCGCCCTTCGAACTGCAGCCTTGCTGGTTTGCTTCACCCCAGTGTCTATTTCTCTTCCGTCTTTTCCTTCCCTTCCCTCATGGCCGCTCCGCACCTCAACCCTGATGACGAGATGGCCCTCGTTGACGACGACCTTCAGCTTGATGGCGAGGAACTCCATCTCGATGAACTCGCTGCAGGTCAGGGTGGGAGCCATAGCCGCCATGACACCACGAGGCGGCGCCGAAGGGGCGGGCACGGGCGGAGGGGCTTCGACGCACACCTTTTTGGCTGCCGGGGGCTCATCAGCTGCGGAGGGGTGAGCAAGGGAGAAGGCACTCCCGGGCGCCTCTTCCCCTGCACTCGCTGCCCCTGCTCTGCCCCCTGCCTTGCGCAGGCCCGCCAGTCTAACTTCCCCTCGCCTTGGCGCCGCTCTCGGAGCAGGGGTCCTCCTGACGGCTCACGCCCCTGGTCCTGCGCCTCCCTGCACCCTTCGTCGTCCGAGGCTCGGCCCGGTCATGCCCCCCCGCCATCTTACAGTGGTCACACTTCTTCTGCCCGAGACAGGCGCGGACGCCATCCGCGCGGATCTCATCGCCCGCATCACCGCTGTGCTGAAGCCGCATTTCTTCCGCCGCGGTTCTATCCCGGAGTTCGAAGTGGCCACCGGTGAGCCGCTCCGGGTCCCGCGCCGCGCCTACGCACGGCTCTGCTTCTCTTGGCCGACGGGGGAAGAGGCAGAGGACTTCAAGCGCCTTTTCCCCCAATCCATCCCCCTTAATGCCTCCCGCTCTATGCTTCTTAAGGTCTTCGAAGACCGCAATCCCGGCTTCACGGTCGCCAAAGCCGGGGGTGCCCGCCACGCTGTCGCTCCGCAACATCCCTCCGGGGTACGCCCGGAGGACGTTCGCGATTTTCTGCTGCGCGGCGCGGATCCGTCAGAGCCGGCTTGGCTCGCGGATCTGCAGTTCTTCCACCGCACCACTGACCCGTACGAGGAGGTTTTCCTCCCTTTTTTCACCGACATCCCGCTTCCCCCCCCGGATGACCCGGCCTTCTCCCGCATCCCTGCTGTCATCCCGTTTGAGGACGACTCCCCTCCCGCCCTGCTCAACATCTCCACCCATGTGTGCGCGTTCTGCGGGAACAATCACCGCGACTCCGACCACGAGACCTTCGCCTTCAAGCGCAAGCAGCGCTTGAACAACAAAGCCCAGATGTCTGTTGCCCAGCTGCAGCAGACTAACGGTACGATCTCCCCCCCCTGCCCCCCCGCTCGTCACCCCCCGCTAATGCTACTTGCTTTCTGCCGTATATATTTCACCAACCCTTTCATCTCCCAATTTGCAATAGGTTCCCTCTCCTGGTCCCTAGGCCCTCCGCTGCTCTCAACATGCGCAGTTTCGCCTTGTTCTGCTCTTGATCTACGCTCGCTTCACTCCTCCCCTCACTCCCCCCCCTACTCTCTGGTTTATCCCCTCACTCCCCCCCCTACTCTCTGGTTTATCCCCTCACTCCCCCCCCTACTCTCTGGTTTATCCCCTCACTGCCGCTGGCTGGCCTTCCTTCTTCGGTTCTGCACTAACCAGATCTTGTGCCCCTGGTCGCCCGGCCCAAGGAGCACCACTTTGTGGTGGGAGACATTACGAGGCAGCGGTTTCTTTTAGAGCAAAAATAGGTTCAGAGAGATTTCAGGCGTGAAAACCTGGTTGTAGAATGGTTTCTTGTGTAAATCAAATGGTGGTAACTAGTTTCGGCGTAGTCGCCTTCGTCAGACCACAAGAAAGAAATGAGCCTCCCGAGGTTTATATACACCCCAGGCTGACTCGGCTACCCTACAGTAACCTGAATCAGGCTCAAAAATGAAATTCTACAGTAAAACTAACTTCAGCACTTACGAGCAGAAACTAAAAAGCTTCCAACTCTCTTAGGCAATTTCCATGCCAAGATCGCCCTCCGTCCTGTAAAAATGTCGCGTGACATTATATCCAGGTGACTTTTGAGTCGACTCAAAAGTCACCTGGTTTATCCCCTCACTCCCCCCCCTACTCTCTGGTTTATCCCCTCACTCCCCCCCCTACTCTCTGGTTTATCCCCTCACTCCCCCCCCTACTCTCTGGTTTATCCCCTCACTCCCCCCCCTACTCTCTGGTTTATCCCCTCACTCCCCCCCCTACTCTCTGGTTTATCCCCTCACTCCCCCCCCTACTCTCTGGTTTATCCCCTCACTCCCCCCCTTACTCTCTGGTTTATCCCCTCACTCCCCCCCCTACTCTCTGGTTTATCCCCTCACTGCCTCGGGCGGGCCGTCCTTCTTCGGTTCTGCACTAACCAGATCTTGTGCCCCTGGTCCCCCGGCCCA